CTTTCAGGTGTATTTATGTAGTATTATTTTAAATGTTAAAAAATTTAATTATAGTACAAAATCGAACGGAACCGAACAGAACAGAATCGAACCGAACCGAACCGAACCGAAACTGAACGGTTCCAAAATTATATTTGGAACCGACGGTTCCATTTACTAAATACCCGAAAATTTTTGGAACAAAAAAAAACAGAACCGACCCGCGTCTACCCCTAATCACAAGCGGTTGTGCTCCATATACATAATTATTTAAATATATATAATGTGTTGAGATATGATTGTATTAGTTTTTCTTCAACCAAATAAAAGAAATATTTTTTCACTCTCATTTTGACACCTCATCTATATGTAAATCATTATGTAACTCCTTATATATAATTGACATTATTCCGCCACAAAAACTTTGATATTTCAAATTTGTATTGAGATATTAAAATTTTAGTGGTAGAACATTCAAACGGGAACAATACTTTTGAACTTGCAATAAATTTAAGAGAGCCCACATGTATGTAGATAATATTCGATACATAATTTTGAATTCGATCAAATAGCTTAAATGGAAATATTTTAACATTTTTTTTTCTTTCATATAGTCAAACACTAATGAAGTTACCTTTTTCCTACAAACTTGACGAGCCAACCCCAAGTTTTACCATACATCACATATTAACGATCTTTCTCACGTTGTTGATTCTCGTGAAATGTGTTTACTTTACTTATAAATCTCACAGATATCGAATAAAGCAAGTTTTTGTTTCATACTTCTTTCTCTTCAACTTGAGCTAGCATCTTGGTTACCAGAGGATTGAAACCAAAAGGGCGAAGGAAATATGATGTGTGAAGCCAAAACTACTGTGATTTCCCTAAAAGATGTTGCTGATATCCCATAAACATGTTTACTTTACTCATATATCCAGTAAACAATTGGCTATATGAAAAAAGGCAACTTCGACATTACATGTCATAAAGTCGAAACTCAAAAGTTACATTGTTAATTATGTGACTTTTCAATCTTTTGTTCAAACATGACTCGTTTTAGCTTTATTTAATTTTTTTTGGAAAGATTGTCCCTCCATCTTTTTCTCTTTTGTTTGTTACCACTTTTTAAAAAAATGTCCACATACTTAGGTATTAATATATAATACGTACATTGTCACTATCCTTTACACTAAAGCAACGTTGGTCCGACATGGTGGCCCGTGCCACTGTCTATTTTAGGTTGTCCCTTCTCTAACTTTCTTTCCTTTTCATTTTTTTTGTTTGGTATAATATATATACTTTTACTCATAAAAAAATATAATTTCGTGCTTTATTTCGTTTTCTTCCCTTGTCATATGTTTACTATATTAACTTAAATTGAATCAAACCACTTAAATAAATATATGTGATATATTTATATGTTACCATACTAAATTTAGCATAACAAATTATTAGTTAACTTGTATATTTGCATAGATGGTAACTTTTGAATGTGCAATTAGCCTAATTTATATGCATAATCCATTACGTAGATGTATCTAGTGATGTGACATTTATTAATACACGTCATGATGGATATTTATTTATATTTTTTACGTAATTCTTTAATTCATAGACATGAGAGTTGAAAAAACCCCTTAGATGTTTATATATAATACTCTCTCGATTAGTTCTCAAAACAACAACAAAATGTTATTAATTAGATTAACAGAAAATTTGCTCTCCATGAAATTTACAATTTACTATATTAAAGGTGTGTTTGGGTGTGCTTATAAGCACCTAGATTCACTACTTTTTCTTGTTCAAAATAAATAAATAGTGAGTTCATATTTATACGATTGTAGGAAAAGTAATTCTTAAGCACGATCAATCAAGTGTTAAAATAAGTAAAACTAGAGAAACAAACACTTCCAATGCATACATAATATCACCTTAAGCTTGAGGTGCCCATGTGACATGTAGTTTAGACTTGTGATGTGAACTTCATGATCCAATTATCACAGATTTTGCTAATATGAATGATAAATATCTCGTCACTGCTCAACTCAATTGAAAATAAGAATATTTTAATTATGTCTTGCTTAACCGCGCTTCTCAAACATATTTCTAAGTGTGATGGGGATGGCCATCCCGTCCCCATTTCGATCTGTAGTGATTGAACTTGCCTCAAATGCAGAGACTCAAACCCAAACCTCTGTCTTTTATGCTGATGTGACCTTAATTCAAAACTATGTAAGGCATACGATGCACAAAATAATAGTTACACTTTGGCTTCAAATGATCACTATTGATGACAGAAGACCCGAAGGTTAAAAATCAAGACTTCAAATTAATCATCCCCTTGTTATCTTCCACGCGTCAAAAATCCACTTAACAGCTTCTATGTGTTAGAAAAACTTGTATTATGTCAGAAATATATAGATTCCTTAGAAGTACTAATCTTTGCATTCTCAATTTGCTTGCTACATGTACAACGTAGTTACCTTAGTACAGCACATCCCATCATATCAACTGTGAACATGAACACTAAAACAACACCCTTCATTCAATAATCCTCTCATCTCCTATAGAACCCTAAATTCTATCTGGAAAAAAAAGTGCTTGTGTTTTAGTGAATTTATACTATTTCTTGATTTAATCTGTGGGGAAATGGATGTGGGTTTCTGGGCTGCAGGAGTTCATTCAGCTAAGAAGGTTTCTGCTCTCCAAGATGCCAGACTCAACAACTCAAGTATGGATAGTTGATTAATTTCCCAGTTTTAGTTTTTGGGTTCTTGAATTTTCTTTTTTTCTTGCTCTAAATAATTGTTTTTCGCGAGGTTTTGCTAATTGATTCAGCTTAAAGAGTATGATTGAATTATTGTTTATTTGGCTATGAAATCCTGACTTTGTAGTGGTTTTGAGTAATTACTGATAATTAGGACATAGTTTATAGAAAAGGAGAAAAATTGGGGAATTAAAGGCACCAAGTATTGGAAATTTCATATTTTTCACACATTTTATGTCTGGTTGGATTGTAGAAAAGCGAGATGGAAAAGTTCTAATGAATTATCAATGTTGTTTGAATTTAACAGTGCAAGTTTTTGGGTTCTTGAGTTTTCTTTTTCTAGCTCCTAATTTTTCACGAGATTTTGTCCATTAATCGATGATTTATATGTTGTAACTGAGTTAGCTTTGGAAATATGCTTTTAGTACTCTTTATTTTTTGTGCATTTCTTAGAATTGGCTGTGAAAGAGCACTATTTATTTGGACATGAAATCCTGAATTTGTAGTTGTGTTGAGTAATTGATGATAGATAGGACTTATTTAAAAATTGGAAAAAAGAAAGGCACCCAAGTATGAGAAATTTTAATTTTTCACGCAGTTTGCGTATACTTAAATTGTAGAAGGGAGAGGCAATTTTTTTTAAAAAATAAATTCTTAATGTTTTGTTGAATCACTTGGTTTTTCAGTTTCTTAATGTTTCCAATTGTTTGTGGCTGTCTTAATGAATCATAAATTTTCTTAAATTTCGAAATCTGGTGATGTTTTGTTTCATCAATAGGCAACCATTTAATCATTGATGATGAAGGGGATGATGAAATGAGAGCTTGGTTTCCTTGCCCTTTTTGTTATGTTGAAATCGCTGTTCCTGTGCTTTGTATCCATCTGCAAGAAGAGCATTGCTTCGACTTGAAAAATGCCGTAAGATAGTTACCTAATAATGCCATTTCTACTTTCACTTAAAAAACTTGTAAGTTATTAGTAAAATAAGTAAATTTACCCCTTTGAGTATGCATATTCAGATAATTTATACTTGTATAAGTAGTTCCATGTTTGACATAAAAGTTCCTTATAAGTTGACAAACTAGTTCAAGTTTCTTATTTGAATCAATTAGTTTATTAGTCCATCTCGAAAGCGTTAACTTTATGTAATTTTCAACTTGATTATGGATATAAAAGTCGATCATAACAGATAATTAACCCCACATTAGGAGGTTAATAATCAAGATTTTTTGTAATCCTGCAAGTTTCTATCTGCAATTGTTAGTAGTGAAAAATTGTGGTTAATCAATAGATGTTTGTGCTTACTATTTGATAATAAGGAATTTAGTGGACTCCATTAGATGATTAATTGAAACATATAAGAGCATGTTTGGCAAAGCTTTTATTAGATTATAAGTTGTAGGTCATTCTGAATGCTATGGGATGTATGGATAAAAATAGAGTTTGACTAGCTTATAAGCCATTATAAACCTTGCCGAACATGCACTATTGTACTTTTGATAAAGTAGGAGTGGAGTGTTCGAAAAGCTCAAATTAGAATTGGAATTGTCTAAAGCTCAAACAAACGGTCAGTTTTACTAATACCATTTCTATCCTAACATACATACTTCATGTTTGTTATAGTTTCATTCTTGAAAATTCTCTTCTAGGTTTGTCCCATATGTGCTGCAAATTTAGGAAAAGATGCAATCGGCCATTTTACGATGCAGCATGCACATTCAATAAAGGTATTATTGTCATGTAAAGTAAATTCGACCAATATGGAACCAAAACCTGAGCAGTTTGTCCTTTTTTTTTTTCAGAGGAGGAAAAAAACTCAAAAATCCGGCTTTTGGTATAATATATCCACAAACATTGTTATGGACATCGGAGAACTAAGTTCATATTCGATGAGTGGTCAGATTAAAGGAAGCGAACCTACACCCGATCCACTCCTTTCGCCATTTCTCTGCAATGTGCTCCGTTCAGACCCTAAAGACAGTCGAAAAGATGCAACTTCTTACATTGCTTCAACTAGTGATGTAGAAAGGTACGTATTTTCTATGAGGTAGTACTGCATTTTTCATCATAATCGTGAAGTGCGGAAACCAATAAAAAGTTAATAATTCTATATGTTTCAGACTCTTTTTGCAAAAATATTTCGAAGATATCATGATGTACATAATTTATCAGTCTGTTCATACTACTAATGTATATCTCATTTGAAACCCTAGCATTTCATCGTACAACATAACAAAGAATCCTACACCCTTGAAGCCTTTACATGCTAAAAGGGTTATACTTATAATACTTGAAAAACAGAAAGCTAATAGAGTTTGAGATCGAATTTGTCAATAAGAGGCCTCTTAGGAAAATGTATATGCTCAACATTTTGATTGGCAATTAGGATGAATAGGATCGTGTCATTGCGAGATGAAAGAAAGTGGACGAGGAGAAAGGTTGTACAAATGCACATAATTATATGATAACTTCTCCGAATTTGCTTAGTTTTACTAAATTTTTGGCGACTAGTTGAGTTGGCTTTTAGAACTCACACTGATGTACAGATGTAAAGTGTTCTGTTCAATCATCCCCTTGCTGTCAGTTTAAGTCTGGGTTCGAGTTATGACAATTCTATCCTCCCACATGAAGAGCCTCACAAATTGAGAGCTTCACTGGGCATATGCTTTTGGTTTCACTTGACCATTTGCCTTGTTAAGTGGATTAGAATAGCTTAGTCTTTCATTATATGATTGCATATAACTTTGTTTGATCAAGTGATTTGGAATAGAGTAAAACTGAAAATTCATTAATAGTGCATTCCTTGTTGTGCACACCCCCTGCGTGCGCGCACACACCCCTTCAAAATGAGAAAGGGTAAACCTGGCTCAACTTGTTGCAGTTTATGGTTAGTGTTGATTCTACAGAAATACTACTTCACAACACAGAAAATATGAATTCCTTGCCACAAAAATTATTCGAAGATAGAAAAGCAAATTCAAGAAACTTTCTTGCCTACATATATAAGATATTTGAACAACTGAAAATCTTTCTTAGTTGCTGGATTGAGGGAAAAGAATAGGAAAGGTGATTCACTATATTTCTGATCGAACTCTTTCTCCTTTCTGTAATGGGATTCACAGAATAAATACTCACTTCAAGCAAGAACTTTATTTCAGATTGAATTTAGAATTCTGTGAAATAACAGATTGACCTAAGGCTATTCTGCTATCAAGTTCATATGATGGGATGTGTCGTATAAAATTTTAGCGTTCTTCATCTATTATGTTGGTGATCTCATTTGGCTCATATTGCAATGAATGACTCCCCGAACACCATATTTTAATGGGTTCATTGATTCAACACGGCAGATAGAGGTCTTAGATTCAAGTCTTGTAATTATTTTGTGCCTTTTGTAATAAGGATGACGAAATATTTTGTTTTTGCAGCAAGAAATCATCACTGCCAGAAGATTATGAGGAAAGGAAACAAAGATCTACATTTCTTCAGGAGCTAATTGCATCAACCATTTTCTCAGGCTCAATGAAAGAGAATTAATTCAAGTAATGCTTCAGCAATTTACACCAGGTTTTAATTAGTGGTGTATGATTAAAGATCAAATTGTTGGAAGATTACTACTAAAAAACTGCTAAAAGATTGTGAGGCGACATCGAATTTGCAAAGATGTTATGAACCGTGTATTTATAACGTTAATTCGTATGAACTTATGACACAAGTTGTCGAAAGAGATATCATGAATTACTGTTTATTCCATGTTTCGTAGTTTGAAAGGAACTTGTGCTTCCCTTGAAATATGAGGCCTTGTGATAGAAATGCTACAATAGATTAGTTCTTAATCTAAATAACTTTTGTTACATAAGAAAAAAATTAGAAGTGAGAACGTTTAGAACAAATTCATATTGAAAAAATGATTTAAACATAAATTTATTACATCTATTAGTAATTTATGTTTTTGACGAGGTGGTTGAATGACATATTTTTCATAAATGAAATACTTACAAGACAGAACTTTGTGTTGTCCGATGAATATGTTAAACTATCTTGCTAATTACTTATTTATCTATTTTTTAACATTATCTATTTTATTTTTTAAATACGATTTGAATATGAAAATATAGAAATAAGAGAAAGAATAGATTCAGGGTACCATATTTCCCGACCCCGCATTGATTCTCTAACTAATTAGGGAATCCCTACCCTGTCACAAGGCATGGGCGAGACATTTTGTCATCCCTGAACGTTAATAATAGACATAACAACATACTATTCCAACAGAGAGTAAATAGTAGTTGCATTCAACCTATTGGTATTGCAAACAAACACAACGAGCATCAATAACAAGCAAAGCAACAAATAATTTTCTACAACCAGAAGTTAAATCAAAAGAAACAGAAACAACTGAATAATACAGCCTTGTGATGAAGTCTGAAATCCCTGTTCAACTTGCGATAAAATCTATCCACTTCAAGTCGCTATCATAAATTCACAATTCAAAATACTTATCTTTCTCGACATACAGCAATGCCAAAGAATCAGCTTTTTGTCTTGTCAATACACCATCATGTATTCTATGTACAGGTATACTTTTCACGAAAATCAAACAACGAATAAATTATATAACAAAGTGCAAAAGTAATCCACGTGGAAAGAGTCGAAAATAATTTTCAGGCCACAGAAAACAATACCTCACCTCACCTCAGCACCATCACCCAACTGCTTAGTTCACAGAATAATTTCCAGTGCGCGTTTTAAAATCACCAAATTCCCTAGTCATCTCTTAAGTTCACTGCAATTCCTGAGTCAGATTTGATATTCCTTCTCACCATGTGGTAATTGTATCTAAAGATAGGTCCATAGCTATGATTTTCACCAACCAAGTCTTGTTTTTGGTCTCCCCCGATAGTGTTAAAACTTATTGGCATTCTTAAATATCTTGAAACCTTAAAGGATGAGTACAACTGATTTAAATCAAACTATTATCTGAGAGCGAGTTTGAAATCGAAGGAACAAAACTTACATCTGCAAGGAGGAAACTCAATCTGCAAACTTATGAGTCAAATTGCATGAGTCATCATTCAGTTTATATTCAGATATCTTCAAGTCACAGATATTAAGAACTCTATTACGCATCTCCAGAGGAAGTTGATTCAAAAGATTTGAGATGGCCCGTTCATGCCTCTGCTTAAGCTCGTCTAGCTCCCTTTGCTGCTTGTCCAATAGATGCTCAAGTTTTTTGACAATAATTTTGAGGTCATTAGATTCAGTTTCACATGGTATTATATTTTCTTCAAAAGAACGAGGCTCGTCCTCTTTTCTACAAACATCATGATCAGACTCATTTTCCACATGCCTGTTTGGGGAAGCATCAAGGGATCTGTTCACATCTTTATGACAAATCGAGGATGGTGAATTTTCTTCAGAAAAGCCGTCTCCAGAGGTTAATGACCCTGCCTTTGACAGAACTGGTCTCAGTGGAGAGGTTGCATCGCTTGTTCTGGGTGAATCTGACCAAAATCTATGACCCGATGGCAGTCTTTCCAAAATCAGAGGGCCAGGACGAGCAGAATCAATTGTTGTAGGGGAAGTTCCAGAACGAGCAGAATCATTTTCCCTTGGGGAAATCCCAGAATGAGCAGAATCAATTTCCGTGTGAGAAGCATCATCAGAAATCACTTCCCCCGAAATACTATTGCCATTGATTTCTACAGGTGCCCAATCTGGAATATGGGATCGAATTTCAGAATCAATCATAGCAGCAATTACAGAGACATCATGATCCGTCAAATCCAGCTCTTCCACCATTTCGCTAGCAACAGCAGTTGATGTATCCCCCTCAATATCAAATGGGAAGTGAATATTACGAATATGGCCTGAGCTCATCAAGAAATCACATAAATGGATATAATAATGCTTGTGATGGGATATTTATTCTTTCGGGAATAAGAACTGACTGTAGTAAAAAAGTAAAAAAGAACACAATTAACCTGATGAATCTACTATTCGGAGTTTCAGGAATATTGTATTTTGGTCTTTTCTTTGACCATGTACTGAGAAGTCTAAACTTCCCTCGGGCATGGTGTCCTCAGGTGATTTTTCCGGGTCAAATCGATCACCATTATCATCTAAAAATAGCTAGTTTTAAAAGCTGAAAAAGAGTTAACAAAATGCAATAGCATAGCAGAGGAAGTCTGTAAAGTGTACCTGTATTTAGGGGATTAGAATGCAGGGATCGACCAATACTTCCAGAATCCTCGTATGCTTGGAGAAAAGGATCATTCAGTAGCTCTTTAGCCGATAACCGCTCAGAGACTTTTGCAATACATTTTTCGATAAAGGCTCGGACTCCAGGATCCTTCACTTTTCCTAATGATGCCGGTTTAATTCCCTTCAGAAAGGATGAAAGACGATGAGATGTTCAATCGTATGGCACGGACAAGAGAAAACAAAGGTAATTTCAGAACAGCAGTTAAATTACTTCTACCATGATCATTGAACCACCGAAGTAAAGTAACATTGTTAGAAATTGTTTTATGAGTCACTCAACACAATCCGTACTGATAAAGAGAAGGAGAATATGAGAGTTTCTCCTTAGAATTCCATTTAGAATATCATACACTCTGAATCTATGATGCATCGACACAGATAGATATGTCTGACATGACATGTCGGATACGTCGACACACAATTTTTCAAAAAAGTACTGACGTAACATATCGATTAAATTCTTTAAAATTCTTCATTTATACAGTATAAAATTAGTTTCATATTTTTTATTAACTTTTCTTCTTGCAATCTTTCTAAATATGAGTACCTATTTTTTATTTACTAATAAATTTGAGTTAAAATATATAATATTTCTAGTAAAAGAAAATTGATCATTGTAGAGTATCCGAAGAGTGTCAGTATCCGACATCACGTGTCTGACACGGACACAATATCCTAGTTGAAGTGTCTGTGCAACAGAGATCTTGATGAATGATAATGTGCAAAACCCGTAGACCCCTGAATCATGAAGTCATACATTTCGAGTAGTTATATAATGAGTCTCAATCGGGATGGACTAGTTTAATAAGGAATTACAAAATGATGTTCTTCCCAGATAGAAGTAGGAGGCTTCTGCTTCTACTTTTGTTTTTTTTGTAGAAGAGCTTCATAAGAAGCCACATTAAATTAGCTCCCTATAAAAACTCTACTAACTAAACAAAGCACTTCCTAGATAACTATCCAAACGGGTTCAAAAACAACTTCTTAATCTTAGAAACAACTTTTGACTTTTAGAAAGCCCCGCTGAATGGGTCCATAATAGTGAACTGTGAATCTCTAATAAATAAAAAATCAAGAATATTTCTTTTGTGATAATACAACTGCTCACTGAACCAGGCTGGTCAGGAAAAAAAAGAGAGAAAAAATATAGAAAGACAGTCGAGGACGACTCACCGCTGTCACTTTTTTATATATCTGAGCAGCATTCGCACATTCAACATATGGATACTCGACAGTCACCAGCTCGAGCAAGCACATACCGAAGGCATAGATATCTACAAGCTCATTGTATTCCTCCTCGTAAAGCTCTGGTGCCATGAACTCTGGCGTGCCTAGCATCAGAACCACAACTATGTCATTGCCTTCACAACCAATCAAATGAAACACAGGCAAATGGCAATGGGTAAATCAACAAATCAAACCTTACCAATGACACTGTGAGCTGAACGAGCCTGACGAAGAATAGCAGCAAGTCCAAGATCACCGATTTTCACCTCCCCTTGGTTTCCATTTACGAAAATATTATCGCACTTCAAGTCCCGATGAATAACTGGGGGGTCATGGCTATGAAGATAAGAAAGCCCCTCTAGAATTTGCCTGGACCATTTTTTTAATGCTCTCACATCAACATGTTTATGCTTCTTCCGATACCTGCACATAAACACGAACAGATCACAAATCACATTTCACATTTCACTAGACTAATACCTTTAATAGTAAGAATCAGAACAGATCATTTTAATTTGAACATACTGTCTCAAAGAGCCCGAAGTGAAAATTTCCGTAATAAAGTTGATATGCTCATTCTTGCCATCGATCCACGAGTTGTAAAACTTGATAATATTCTTGTGCTTAAGGGTTTTCAGCAAGTGAACTTCGGAATACAACCGTTCCAAATCCTCGGAATTTCTCAAGAGATCTGCAACTTTAACTTGATTCCAAGCCACCTCTATTCCTTCCCATTCATCGAATGCTCTATATCTATTTTCCCAGCATTAAAATTAAGGATTCACACAAATTTGAATTCAATCAATATTTTATGTCAACGGAAAACACAGTAAAATTCTAAAACTTATGGTGCAATGTATTCTGAAAAGGATACACTTTTTTGAAAGCTCCTTTCCCCAATACTTCTTTATACTGCAAAATTGAATCCCAAAAGCATAATAAACAAAATGATTTTATAAAAAAAATATTCACCTGATCAACAAACACATAGTGTACAGAAAATGTAATATAACAAAAAAGCATAAAACAGTTCAAATATAATTGGC